TGAATTTTACCACTAACCTTGTATGCATTGAGTTTGGCAGCGGTCAGTGAAGTTCGCTTCACTGTATTTCTCTGTACGATGACGATGATGATGATACTCAGGAAAGAAGTCGATTATAATTAATCCATTATCTCATGTATACTGTCATCTGCATATAGACATCTGGAACTCAACATACGTCTGCTGGTTGGCATTTACTATAATGAAGATTTAAATGAGTAACATCTTTGCAAACAAATTTCCATGACATCCAACATAAAGCGATCTGACCTCTGATTTTGTTTACAGCGAAAACAGATGGCGACAGAGGGTATTCAGACCATCTTGTATTGATGAATAGCCTTCTAACCCACGCCCCAACAGTGTGTCGATGCAGGATCTTTGAATAAAAGCTCGCTTACCGAATGCTGCACTCCTCAACGAGCAGTTTCACAACGTGACTGCATAAAACGGCCAGGAGTGACCGCACCGAACGCAGAATGGTATGCCCGAATTCCTTGAAACTTGTGATAGATATTTCACAGTTCACGCTTTCACAATTGCGAAAAGTGCAATCCAAGGCGAGATAAGAAGAGAAGAACATCTCAGAATAAGAGGATACCTGAAAGTCGATGAAGTATATCTCTATCTGCTTGGAGAGTATAACAGTTACGAACCACTGCAACGAAAGGCAGTGTATTCACGGTGAAATATAGGGCAGGTGGAAAACAGACTCACCGTATACAAAGCGTTCCTTGCCGATGGAGTACATCCCGCAGACGATCAGACCAGATGGTTGTTCGCGGAGAAAATCTCTAGTAACCTGGATAGCACTATCAATCACCTCTTGTTGGGATAGGAAGTCGTATTCCGGAGCACAATATCTGAAGAGTACGCATAAAAAATATTATTGAAATTGCATGTAACTCAGGTGAAAAACATTAATGGTTTCTGATAGATTCGGCCGAGCAAAAAATGAACCCAGAAGTGTGCTCGATCCCAACCGATCAACGTTGATAAAGTAGTCCCGATTTCTCGCGAGGTCTACTTCGTACTGTGTACTTTCTCTTAGGGCCTATTGTAGGTATGTGTGGTTTGCTAATTCAATTCCGAAAAGGTCCCCGAGGCTTGCAGGTTGTCTCCTTTTTTCACTGATGGTCACAAGTGGGAAACCTTACTCCGAAACACCAAATCGCACCCAAGATGATGCACCCACTTAGAGCTGATTCCAGGGGGCCAAAGTAAAAGCAATTGCGAGACTCGATTTTCGTGAACCCTGCTCCGATGACCTTCATTCGCATTCGGTAAATTCCACCGTCTGTCTGGGAGTGGTTGATCTCAAAAGGGCACTTGCGTCACTGATGTGGAACAGACTAGGCCAATGCTGCTCCCTTGTGCGGTAAAACATTTACCAGTATGACGTAGTGGTGAATCAAATAGTGGTGAACCCGCCGATCGGGTTAACACACAACCTATGACAAACCATTCAGTTCGAATTGTAAACCTGGCTTGAATAGAAGGAGAGTGCGTATCAAACATTATTCACTTCTCGACAAATGTATTGACTCCATCTACACCCTCGATTATCTTCGCTCAACAAAAATGGTGACACAGCTTACCGTCAGCTACAGGTAGAGTAAACCTGGAGTTAATTGCTCGGATATCGATGCCGGCTCAATCAGCAAAGCTTACCACAGTACCTATGATCAGGAGTGAGTTCAGTGCTTACGGTGTACTACGAACGATGCACTTTTAATTACGTGGATCATGGTCCTATTCGATTGGACAAATTTGTTGAGAAGCTTGGATCGAAAACATTTGGGTGGACTTTGGTTACTGGGCTGTTTTCACGTCAATGACCTAACAAACAGCCAGTTGCGCCTGAACCGCATCTCGTCCATCCTTGACAGAACTGAATGGGAATTCGTCGTGTATATAGCAAATGAAGCGTGAACTGAAAAGCTCGGAAGTACCGGACAGCTGTTCCGACCTGGTTGGGTTGGGAACTGAATGAAGCAGAACGAAATGGATAAATTTGATAAAAAGAGATAACTTCCAAGTTAAATGTGGAAACTCGGTTTCAGAAGCACTGCTCCTCGAAGAACACCTACAAATAATAAACTCAGCGAAAAGTATTGCCCCTCCCCCTTGCTTTTCGACTAGTTCCTCTTCCACATGCATGATAATCACCTTATTTTCGAATCCATGCGGCAACTGAACACAAGTTATCTTTAATTTACACGAAAATACACCGAGGAAATAGAATTGACACTGAAAAAAGTACTACACTCGTATGGACTTCACACACCTTAATCTGTTTCAAAATGGGTTCGATAGTCATCCCGAGTTGGTAATTTGGCAAGGCAACTGGAAAACGCGGTGAATCAGTGGTTGACAGACTGATATAAGCTACAATGATGTTTACATTGCTCCCAATGGCCAAACAACAAATAGAATCCGAATTGATCACAAGCCTTTGTAAATCATGACTCAATAGAAGGGGCTTACTGATAACGCGAAATCCAAAAGTGATATCTTTCGCGAGATCAATGTCTGCACACAGGATACCCAGACGGTGTCCTGTCTCCAAAAGCATCAGTATGGTTCAAGGTGGGTGTCTAGGGTTGCGGTTGGTCACCCTTCGCTTGCACCTTGCGAGATGCTCCCATACGACCAAGCGTCTCAAATGGTCCCTGTTGAGGAAGCCCTACTCACTGCCTTCTCGTGGCGGAGTTGTTTTGCCACCAAAGGGAGAGATGAATAGCCGGGTTGGTGGACCACTGATAGTTCACCTAGGGTTTTTGCCGAAAACCCTGATTTTAAACCATCCAAGAGGAGGCGCACGAACCAAACACACCTTCCCGGTTGTGGCAATGGTCGCCGGCTCGATTAGGCATCGAGGTGTATTGGGTACCTTGGACGTC